GGTAGTCATGCGCCATAAGTCATCGCCGCTGTCCGACCACCGCGCACAGCTGCTTTTTACGCCAGTGCCGTCGAGCCACTCCGCGCTCGAATTCACTTGCTGCAGATCCCAGCGGGCCACGTTGGGCGAGGCGCACGGAGCGTCCTTGAACATGCCGTCCATCAACAGCCCGCTTGTGCTCACTGACCACAAGGTCACGCACGGGTTTGCGCGCGCTGCCCCACGGAACATGTTCGAGGCATCCGTTACCTGACCCACCTGCCACAATCGCACGTCCGGGTCGGCGGTGAGCGCGTCGCGAAACATTTCGGTCATGTCGGTCACCTTCGCGACCTGCCAGGCGCTCACGTCCGGGTTGGCCTTCGCCACTTCGCGAAACATTCCCCGCGTCACCTGAGCGCTGCTCATGTCCCACTTGGAGACGTCAAGCGTGGCGGTGCCGTACTTGAAGAACATCTCCGCAAAATTTTTGCCCCTTTCGGTGTTCCAGACCGAGACGTTCAGGTTGGCGACCGCCGCGGCATCGTGGAACACGCGGGTGAAGTCGGTGACTCGCGAAACGTTCCAGTTGCCCACGTCCGGGTTCGCGGTCGCAGCTTCACTAAACATGCTCTGCAGCTCCTCCGCGCGACTCAAGTCCCACGCGGCGAGGTCGGGTTCCGCTTTCCCGGTCCGCTGGAACAGGTTCTGGAAGTGCTTGCCGCTGCCAACCCGCCAGTTGGTCACAGAGGACGACCCGCTGGCGGGTATCTGCACCTTCTGCGCGCCCTGGAACGCAGCCCGGAAGTCGGTTACCTGGGACACGTCCCACTGCTCCAGGCCGGGCAACAGCGGCACCGCGGGCGCCTCCGAAAACGCGTAAGAAATATCGGTCACCCGCGAAACGTCCCAGCGGCTCAAGTCATTCAAGGTGTCCAGCTTGCCCGCGTTGCGAAAGATCGCCTGCAAGTTGACAACCCTCGACCAGTGCCGCGCGAAGACGTCGTTGTCCTCACTCGTCAGGTATCAAGTGTAAAAATGTCTGGGTCTGGAAGAGTGCATGTTTGTCATGCTTGTCTGGCATGACTCTCAAATCTGTCATGCACGTTACTCAAGAGCGCCACTTTTCTGTCATGCAGCAACGCAGTTTGTCATGCAGAATAGGCAACACCTAGAAGCTCAGAAACTTGTCATGCTGAGCCAGCACTTGTGGTCTCCTCATGATACGCCACCCAGCAGCACAAGTTTCCAGACCCACACATTTTTGCACTTGATATCAGGGCCGTAATCTCGCCGCTGTCCTCAAACAAGCGCGCGAGGAGGTTGTGCCCCGTCTTCCCGAGACTGCGTACCCGGCGGTAGGCGTTTTTGAACCCGCGCATTGCGGCGTCCGTGGTCACAGCGTGCACGAGACGTGGATCATTGGTGTCTTTCACACCCGCAAGCCCCGCGTCCCCGAGCGTTATCGTAAGGAAGAATCCCTCACCGCATATCGAAAAGGCACGTCTCAGGAGATTTGCATTGCTGACTTGTGACCACAAATCGTCTCTGTCTTGCAAGAACGCAACCTCACAGGTTGCCGCACTCTGCAGGCGGTTTGTAATGCTGTTGGCCCTACAGCCTAGACGTTTGCCATGCTTAGCGCCTAGCCCAAAACTTCCCTACTCCGGGTTGATAAAGGCCTGCTGTCCTCTCCAGCAAGACAAATCTGATTTGTGTACGCAAATC